GCTCCTTTGGTGCTCAAACCACCATTTTCCCGTCTTTCTCCTTGGTTCCCATCGTCTTCAGTCTTGATACGAGTTGTGGTGATGCTAATTTAACAATCTCATATCTAGCCTTTTCGACCGCGCGGCAGCGAGAATGCCCAACAATTTCTTCACCAACGGCAGAAATCCATGGGAAATGTCAGCAGCGCCCCGTCTGCCCCGGCCGCTGGATTCAAGGGCCCTGCCAAACGAGCAGCCTTTGGCGACGTGACAAACATGTCCAAGGGTCCTGGAGGCCGTGGCGAAGAGGCCAAAGTCACAAAGAAGCCTCTGGGCGTGTCGTCAAATCATGTGCCCGCGTCCTTTCTGAATAAGGAAAACGTGGTGAGGCCTAGCAAAGATTCCTTCTCTCGACCTGCTCAGCGACCCGCAACGATGCCAAACAACAAATCCAAGGCTACGACGACCGAATCTCGTGCGGAGCCGCTGCCGAGAAAGCCCACAAGTGCAAGCGCCACAACCACTCTAGCTGCGGCAGCTACCGCTGCTACCACACAACAATCAGTTTACAAACTCGACGTTGATATTCCTCAGCAATTACTTTGCACCAAGAGCAGTGCTGTAACGCAAAAGAAGACTCCTTCTCAATCCGCCTCCGACCTGCATGCGCTGCAACCTCGTCATCACAAAAGCCAGCCACAGCTGAAGCAAGAATTGCCCACTTTACGAAGAACTCAGAGCAAAGTGGACAAGGCCGAGCGAGCCTCTGGCAACAATAACAATAGCAACAGTAGCAACAATAGCCACAGCCTCGCCTTGATTGAAATTGAGCCACTGGTGATGCCTGCGCTGATCGAAGATTTTTTGACCGGTCACGACTCATACCTCGACCCTCTCAACTTTCCATCCGAAGAACCCTCACGCGCAGACGTGAATCACGAGAAGGAATATGTTGATGCGCTATCCAAACTTCCAAATATATCTGAGGAGCCCGCTATTGGGGTCGTTCAAACCTATAAAGAGGGCCTCACTCTCGCATTTTCCGAAGCCGATGAGTACTGGGACGAAGACGAGGACGAGGACGAAGACGATGGTTATGACGGCCATGACCAGGGATATACGACGGCCCACTCGACTCGATCTCGCGATATGACATTAGCAAATACTACAACCATGCTCGCGCCGCGTGTATCTAGCCGTGTACAGCGTGAGCTGGACGAGGCCAGAATTGAGGTTGAGCAGACCATTACCCGAGAAGAAGTTGACGAAGAGTTGTGGGACGTCAGCATGGTTGCCGAGTACGGCGAAGAGATTTTTGAGTATTTGAGAGAATTGGAGGTGAGCAAGCTGGATGGATCACTACCCAACCCATTTTATGCGCCATTGACCTATTGCTAACATGAATTCTTTACAACTCTGTAGATTAAGATGCTCCCGAACCCTCATTATATGGAGATGCAAACCGAAATCCATTGGTCTATGCGGACTGTCCTCATGGACTGGCTGGTACAGGTGCACCACCGATTCAACCTATTACCGGAGACCCTCTTCCTTACGGTCAACTATATCGACCGGTTCCTATCGAGCAAGATTGTGTCTATCGGGAAGCTTCAGCTGGTAGGAGCTACGGCGATCTTGGTCGCGTCCAAATACGAAGAGATCAACTGCCCCTCACTGGAGGAGATTGTCTACATGGTGGACGGTGGTTACACAGGAGACGACATCTTGAAGGCGGAGCGTTTTATGCTCAGCATGCTCGGGTTTGAACTGGGATGGCCGGGCCCGATGAGCTTCTTGCGGCGCGTTAGCAAGGCTGACGACTACGACATCGATACCCGAACTTTGGCTAAATACTTCTTGGAGCTTACTATTATGGATGAGCGCTTTGTGGCCTCACCTCCGAGCTTTCTGGCTGCTGGTGCGCATTGCTTATCTAGGCTTATTCTGGACAAGGGCGAATGGGTTAGTTTCTCTCTCTCCCTCTCCCTCTCCCTCTCTCTCTCCCCCCTCCCTCTCTCTCTTTCTACTATCAGCTTTACAGACGTCACGAGCAATGATTCACTGACTGAAATCAAATAGACTAAGCGCCACGTTCACTACTCAGGCTACACATGGAGCCAGCTCAAGCCACTGGTGACCATGATGATTGAATGCTGCGAAAACCCTCTCAAGCATCACGGAGCTGTATATGAGAAATATCGAGAAAAGAGATTCAAGGAGGCGTCTATCCAGGTCCAGCACGCCCTTGACGCTGGTTTCACGCTTCCGCACCACTCCACACCCGTTCGTCGATTACGCCCGGCGCGAATTCCGAGTGTCTCTGAGCTGCAATACGGCAGCCTTCTCATCCCCATCGAAGGATGAGAGCCGACTTTTGATCTACTGTGATGTTTGTTTTCTTGCTGCCTCTCATAAGCTTCTACTATCTGCAAGCTATGAGATTGATTGTTTGATACCACTAATGCATCTCAAGATGCTTTTCTTTAATACTGAAAACCGCCACCTCGACATTGCTTACTGTGATTCCCTTTTTTTCTCGGGGATTGCAGGCGATCTTACGAAGACGATGACCCACCACACACTCGCGACGATGTTTTCTACTTCTTCTTTTTATCTTCTCTCTATTATCTTCTTTTCTTTAGCTCTGTATTGTACTGTCTGGCGTTGGTGGCTTGCTCAGGAACTGGCGGTAATGAAATGGATTTATATATACCACGCAGGCGCTGGAGGTGTGGAAGGGACGGCGGAACGGGGGCAAACAAAAAGGGTGTGTGAAATTAGGCGAAAGGAAGCTTCGGCATGGCACGCACTGCGCCAAAGCCGGGGAAAGGGAAACGGATGGATTGGTTCTTGACTTTGATAATACCACTTTGAAGAAAGCTGTATGGATTAATACCGCCCTGTTATTTATTTTGGGCATTACGGATTCTGTGTTACAGCCTGAATAATACAAGAAGACATGAACAACGAGGAATCGCAAAGGTGAATTGGCTCTAGTGTTGAAGTCCTGTTGAAAGCTGCTAGGGTAGCGCAGCTCTGTGCCCCATACTCGCAATAATGTGCCGTCTATTGTTGCTGCTGACCGCCGGATCGATTGCTTTATGCAGGCAGGGCCCTCTCCGGGATTCCGGAATAGCCCCGGCCCTACGGAACTGCAGAGGTGGTCTGGTTGAATGCAGGATACGTGGTACGTGATGATGCAACTGGGTGTTTTGTTGGGGGCAATTGGTTTGTAATGGTGAAGATTAATCCTCTCTGCGATACGTTAGGCCTATAATGGGTCTTTATCTTGTGTCCTTCTATCTGGATGAAGTTGACAGACGAGTAAGGCACAGGATCAAAAATACGTACTGGCTGGGCAAAGCCCCAGGGCTCAGGTTCCGGACCGGCTCCGGGTGTGGCGCCGCTGATTTTTTCTAGAAAAGTATTTTTTGGGGCTGGCTTTTTTCTCTTTTCTTGTTGTATGCGGAGTAACGTGCGTATTTTACGCACTTATATTTTCGCACAGTGTCTTGCTTTGTACTGTAGGAGACGTCCTGTTCTGTTGGCATGGCTTTTGGGCATTTGTTCTCCGGACTGGCCGAAGTTGTGTGCAACTGGCCCCAACCCCGGATTTACTACGTCTAGTAGAATACCCAGGGAATAGATGCGCTTAGGTTGACAGATGGCGATTCTTAGCTCAGAAAGATGCTGCTATACCATCCGTCCCACCGCCGTGTGCGCCGTTTTAGTGTCTATCACTTTGCTAGGAATTACTGACAAGAGATACCTACCTATGCAGGTGATCACATCGGCTTTCGCAATACCCACTTGTAAGAACCGCCATAACTACCTACCTAGGTATTATGACCGCTATAGAGCAAGTACGGAGTGATTACATGGATTTCTCGGTTTCTGGATAAAAGGGGAACTGCAAGTCGAGCTGTGGCCGTCCTCGGGTTGTGACGTTTCAAGCAGAGAGATTGGCTGGGTGCTCATTGAAGGATCTGATGTCAGCTGGGTGTGCATTGGTGTTACTCGAGATTAATAAGGAATGCATGAGTATGAGCGCGGTACAGATACTTGCAACTGCTAAAGAATCGAAGTACCAGCCTGCTCAAAGTACTGCGCCTTATCAGTGTTTGTGTCATCTCTTATTATCTATTTCTTTTTCTTTCCATATATTCAATTCTTAAATGAGAGCAAACAGCACCTGAGTGCAACACCAAAGCAGACCAAAAGAGTCGTGCGGATGGTTCTCAATGTGATGCAGGTGCTACCACTGGCTGGTCTAGGCGCAATTACTTGTTGCTTCTGTCAGTACCTACCTACATGTAATTCTTGGTGAGGCTAGAGCCAAGAGATACCACGATCATTGTAGCAGATACTTCTCAATGTGCGCCTCCCGCTGTTTGCTGCTCACGTGGCAGAGTAGCAGGACTTTGCAAGACTTTTCAAAAGACCCCTAACGCAGCCCCCGACTTTAGGCCACGAATAGCAGGCCTGCGCGTCTTCTGACCGCTGTAGACGTCGAGCTAGCGGCGTGGCGGCAGGGACGCTGATGGTACCTGGTACCTAGCATTTCGTCAAACCTTGCAGCCATCCTGCCGTCAATTGATTCGTACACGGAGCAGAGACGGCGTAATAATTTTTTTTTCGGCGTTTGCAACTTTTTTCTGCCTCAACTCGTGGAAGTCAAAATCTCTCCTTTACTTTACGCTGTTTTTGCGACCCTCGTTCCTATTCTTCAACTCCCCTTCATTTTGTTCGTTTTCGTTTTCCTTGCATTGCTTAATAGACTTAGAACCATAGAGGGGCCTGTTTCCGATATTTTTTCTTCTCTAGATCCTTTCGGCGCCTGCTTTTTTGGCGCTTCCCCGTTGTGCCAAAATCCACTTTGAAGAGCTCCACAGCCTCGCCGCTTCCTCCACAAGAGGCCAACAATCTTTACCCCGTCTTCTCTCCCCGCGGACATTTTTCTTCAACTCTCCGAGACCCTTTGCTGAACCCGAGAGTCGAGTTTGCTACTTGCGTTGGCAAAGATGACGAGCGTTTCGAGCGTCAAGGAAGCTGTCAAGGAGAGCCTGGTTGGCGCTGAAGAGCCTGCGCAGCTCTCGGCGCAAACCAAGGCTCGCTTCAGCACTCATGCGATCAAGGACCCTGAGACGGGCGAGCTGTACTTGGGGCCCGACCAGTTCATCAGCGCCATTGCGCCCAAGGACGAGGACTATGTGAGTTGCCATTGAGTTCGATTCTCATCTTCTTTTTTTTGCGCCAATTCTGTACCCCCCTATTTCGTTGTTGGGCCCCTTTCCGTCTCTCTCTTTTCAGCATCGGAGCCATATCGGGGCAGTTGCGGGACCAGTGACTAACATGACATCCCATGCAAACAGCACAAGATCAAGCGGGAGCAGTACTCGATCCTCTTTGGCGTCGCCGACAGCAAGGGCACCGGCAGAGTTTCCTTGACTGATTGGAGCGTCTTCGAGAACCTCCTCCTCAAGCCCGATGCCGAGTACGAAATCGCCTTCCGATTGTTCGACGTCGACCGGACCGGCATCGTCAAGTACGACGACTTCAAGCGCCTCTACGAACTCAACAAGGGACCGGATAACATTCCCTTCGACTGGGACTGCGAGTGGGCCAAGCTGTACATTGGTACGAATAAGAACCGCCACAACCTAAACTATGCGCAGTTCTCACAGTTGCTGCGAGGCCTTCAGGGCGAGCGCATCAGACAAGCTTTCCACCGCTTCGACAAGGATGGCGATGGTTATATCAACCCGGAGGACTTTGAGCGCATTATCCGCGAGACGGCAAGACACAAGCTCTCGGACCATCTGCTGGAAAACCTGCACACCCTGTGCAACATCTCGGCTAGCAGCAAGGTGTCTTATGCCAACGTGCGGGCTTTCCAGAACATCATCATGGAGATGGACATGGTTGAGCTGATTCTGCGCCGGGCTGTTTCAAAAACCAAGGATGGCAAAATTACCAGATCAGAGTTCATGAACGAGGCGGCTGGCATCACGCGATTCGCGCTCTTCACGCCCATGGAGGCTGATATTCTCTTCCACTTTGCAAGCTTGGACGAGCCTTCTGGACGACTGGGTCTTCGTGACTTTGCCAAGGTCCTGGACCCTTCTTGGCGGAATCCCATGTACGATGCCTTGGATACCGCCAGCCACGCGGTTGACAAGGTCGCTTCCAAGGGTGGCGCGGTGTTGCATCAAGTCCTTGAGTCTGCATACAACTTCGGTCTGGGTAGTGTGGCTGGTGCCTTTGGTGCTTTCATGGTGTATCCCATTGATCTTGTCAAGACCCGTCTGCAGAACCAGCGTGGAGCGGTGCCCGGACAGCGCCTATACAAGAACTCGATTGATTGCTTCCAAAAGGTCGTTCGCAACGAAGGTTTCCGTGGCCTTTACTCTGGTGTTTTGCCGCAGCTTGTTGGTGTAGCGCCGGAGAAGGCCATCAAGCTGACTGTCAACGACTTGGTGCGAGGCCGCTTGACAGACAAGACAGGAAACATTCCCTTGTGGGCTGAGATTCTTGCTGGTGGTACCGCTGGTGGATGTCAAGTAGTAAGTTGAAACTGTGATGATTGTGCACCAAATTCCGTCCAAACTAACTGTTTGTTGTAGGTCTTCACAAACCCTCTTGAAATTGTCAAGATCCGTCTGCAAATTCAAGGAGAGGTCGCCAAGACTGTCGAGGGCACGCCCAAGAGATCAGCCATGTGGATTGTCCGCAACCTCGGTCTGATGGGTCTGTACAAGGGTGCCTCTGCCTGTTTGCTGCGAGATGTACCTTTCTCCGCCATCTACTTCCCCACTTATAGCCATCTCAAGAAGGACTTCTTTGGCGAATCACCGACCAAGAAGCTCGGTGTCTTGCAGCTCCTGACGGCTGGTGCCATTGCTGGTATGCCTGCGGCGTATCTGACAACGCCTTGCGATGTCATCAAGACTCGTCTCCAAGTGGAGGCCCGTAAGGGAGAGGCGACGTACAATGGTCTGCGACACGCCGCGCAGACCATCTGGAAGGAGGAGGGATTCACGGCCTTTTTCAAGGGCGGCCCCGCTCGTATCTTCCGATCATCACCCCAGTTCGGTTTCACCCTAGCCGCATACGAAGTGCTGCAGAACGTGCTGCCCATGCCTGGAACAGCCTCAAAGGACAAGTCGCATGCTAGCATGGCGGATGCTTTGTCCACGCTCAGGTCTAAGCAGCTCGACTCCAGCCCCTTTGCTCGCAGCAGAAATGCGCTGAAGATCATCCTGGATCTCGACGAGGACTTTGGCAAGGTCAAGCTGCCCAACGAGAGAGGCTGGAAGTCTCTGCCCAAGATCATTGGAGGTGGCGGCCAAGCAGCGGCGCAATAAAGAAAAAGAAGCATAGAAACGAAAAGCAAATGACGTGCATCGTCGAAATTACACATGGAGGAGAGTAATGTGCGCATTTCTCTCCGATATACGATGCATCAAAACAGGCGTTTGGGTGGAATTATGCATGACGATGGGCGAGTTAGTTTGTATACTTGCTTCTATTTTTATCTACCGTTCTCCTTTTTGTGTCCCATTCCCATTTCCTCTTTCATTCCCCTGTGTATCTATTTACACAATAACCGCGTGTACCCAAAATTTGAAAAGAAAAGAAAAGAAAAGAAAAATACCAAAAACCTAGAGGGATATAGAGAAAGGGAAAGAAAAACAAAAGCCATAGACATGAAGGATAATCTTTCGGGGAGAAAAAAGGGAAGGAAACGAGACGCTTTCTTTGTGTCCTTTTTTTTTTTCTGGGTTTGTCCCATGCGGTTTCTTTTATTATTTTTCTTTTGTCGAAATGTATGAGATGACCTTTAGACCTAGACTGGGATATTTGGGACTAGAGGGGGCTTTTTGGTATGGCCCGGGATGATAAGGAGGAAGAAAAAAGAAAAGAATATTGGAAGTCCTTTTTGGGAGACGGAAGGCTCCGGAAGAATTTTGAATCAAAGAGGGCGAGAGGTTGTCGATGTTGGTGTATGTGGTGGGTGTTGAGATACCTATTTTCAGCGCAATGTAAAAGTGATTTTTTTCTTCTATCTAGAATGATTTGTTAGCCAACTGTGTCCTGTTATTTGTGATGTAGCTGTATTGGACTTGGAGATAATACATACATGTCTAGGCGTCTCTTTATGCTTCTTGTTTACCAACAAGTGCTGTTGAGGGACTCCACAGATTGGCGTGTTTGCTCCAGATGTACGCCCACGGCGACTGTGTCTGCGCCTCAAAGGGAGCAATCTCTGCTCCTACGGGACTCGTCATGGCGTCTTTGAGCCAGGCAATGTAGTCCTCGAAGCCGGTGGTGCTTCCGCCGATATACACCTTCTTGACGCCGCGCACAGCATCAAAGACAGTCAAGTTGTTGCAGCTGACGCCCAGAAACGTGTTCTGCCGCAGATCGATAGACAGCTCGTCCACGCCCGTAAAGGACTTTGCCGCGGCGGCACGGTCGTAGGAAAGTTCCATGTCGAGCGGTACCTGGACGTGGAAGCGGTGGATGAGCGGCACGAGGGCGTTGGCCTCCCTCATGGGCGGGTACCAGGAGCGCAGGCGCGGGAACGAGGCCAGCAGCGTTGGATGGGCGACGAACATGTTTTCGGAGTAGAGGAAGGGCGTGGCCTCGTAGTTGATTTGGCGGCTGGTCTGGAGGATGGCTGGGTAGACGTAGATGGGGGCGGAGGAGGAGCAGGCGGCCATTTCCTGGGTGGTGGAGGAGGATTTTGGGCGAGGGGGGATGGTGAGCAGGAGGGAGTAGATTTGGAAGCGGAGCTCAAGGGGGAGGGACATGAAGCTGGTGGTGGGCTTTGGTTGTGGTGATGTTGTCATTGTTGTTGTTGTTGTTGATGATGATGATGATGTAGCCATTTTTGTTGATTGTGTAGTTGCGGGTTTAGATAAGGTTGTGATATCCCTTTAAGGTGTTTCGTAGTTCTTTAAGTGATGGTATAAGTGATGGCGTATATCGTGATAGGTAGACGATGATGTTGTTTCTTATATTTAATTGTCACTTATACAATGGGGTGTTTGATAATGAGGTATCGGTATGTAAGTGATATTCTTTGGCACTTATGATACAGTATGGTATACAGACTAACAGAAAGGATATCAAACACGGCGGCCAAGCTTATTTAAATGACTTTATCCTCACAGCTCTCGCTGACATCAAACTCGATCCATATCTGGCACAATAGAGTCCAAATCCCTGTCCGCATATCGGAAGCCTTACATGTACCCTCCCCACTATTAAACACAACGGCGTCGTACTGACCGAGATCCCTCATCCGAGGAAAGATATTTAAGAAAAAAGGGGATGACACAACCATGTAATCGGCAGACGGCACTAGAAAAAGGGCTGCCCCCAACCAATAAGGAAAGCCCGTCAAAGCCATTGATTGGGATCGCATGGGAAATAAGACATAGAGAGCTAAAAGAGAGCATGGGCACGTCATGGACCACTCAAAAATAAACCTTGTTAGTGGTGTGCCGGCGTCGCCCGAGGAAAGGAAAACAAAAAAAGGCACCGGATGATGGCTGCATGGTGTTCGGTATCTGAGCCCAGGCAGAATTTCAAGATGGTGGCGTTGTCTGTCGAATGTTGTTGCGCTTTAGCGCCATGCAGCGGACGTCGGTAGCGCTTGACCCGATTTTGCGGCGATGACGAGACGAGACGAGACGAGACGAGACGAGCGCTTCGGGATCGATGCATCCGCCGATAATAAATGGCTATGCAGCTTTGGGGAGTTTCATCCAGGGCGCAGCAAAGTGCATGAGCGTATTTGATTGTGTGTTGTTGGCGGTGTGTAACTGGCTGGGGCGTGTTATCTGCTGATGCTGTCTGCGGCTGCATATTGATGCAAGGTTGTGTGATGGATGCTGCCTGACAGAAATGAGGTGCTTACCTTAGGTAGGTATGGACGGATGGCCAATGTACATTTTGTTACTACTATAGGACAAAGCACGGCTATCATTAGAGTAATAAGAAATGCTCATCGCTAGCAGTGTTTACCGTCGCTTGTCAACTTACACTAAGAGATGTCAATATGGATCTGGGTGAGAAGACGGCTCCGGCACAAGCTGTTAGTGATGACCGCCACAAAAGACGTAGGGGTTCCACGAAGAGATTGATGACCGTCTTCTTCTACTAGTGTGGCAGATAAAGCTCCGGTACGTCGTGGACATGGATGAATTGTTTGTATGGCAACAAGGTATCTTCGTTGATACTACTACTGGGAATGATACATCATAAGGGTCCTCAGCTGTCAGCTCACTTTAGCTCAATTCGATACGATCTTACGCCCTGCTACAGGAATTCCCTTTTCTTCTTTTATTCTTCCCATTTTCTTCTAGCATGCCAGCCCGGCTATCGTCTAATAGGTAATATTGCTTGCCCTTCCCATTCGACGGATAAGCAGCCGGCGGTTTGGCCGTTGTATAAGTGGATCAAACCCGTACTGGCGCTAGGCGTCTTTTTCTCAACGACGGTCGTGCGATCAGACCATGCCACTTCAGCTGATAGCGAATATCTCGGAAATGACGGTGCACGTTGCGTACAGTTTTTTTTTTTTTTTTTTTTTGTGCATGTACTGTCGTATTCATGCAGCAGCAGGGGGACGCAGACATAGGGAAACGTAAGATGGCGATGGATGATGCTGATCGATGGCAGCTGTCGAAATACCGAGGATAATGAACAAATCAGAAAAGGGGCACCGGAATGCAACGTACATTTGATGCTGGGTAGCGTGTACCTGGCAGATGGTGGCTCACAGTGTGCTCTACTCACTTTGCCGTCGGTGTAGCGAGTACCTCTGCTTACCGGATCTGAAAGTACTGCTCAAAGAGGTAAGAGGCTGCGATGTGGTAAGGTACAGTCAACAGGTAGGGCGATGGAAATTTACATCTGTGATCTACTTCCGAGGATGAAAGCTGTGCAGGGGTGAAAAGATGGATGGGCCATGATCTTTTTGGTCTTAGTAGTGCTGCTAGTATTGCTGCTAGAGCAGAATACGCGTGTAAGGGAAGAAGACGACGGACAGTCAACTCGGTCCAATGAAGACATATTAATGAGTCAAATCAAATACAAGTTTGGAGCTGGTAAATCTAAAAAGTTGGGGGAGCGTAAATACCACTATTACTAGGATTAGCTACTACTAATAGTACTAACATGGGCACTAAGTTTCCTTTCTAGAGATGGAATACTTGTTGTGCCTCTTCGCTACGTCTTTGATACCTGGTTCTCTTTGACAACTCCAAGACTGACTTAGCCTCACGTTGAGCAACCTGAATCACAGTCGCGTTAGAGCCACGCTATCAAATCTAAATATACGCCAACAGTAGTAATATGATATGAGGAGTAACTGCTATCTAAATACTTACAATGATACTCTTTATGCCGGCGCCCGCATCTACACCGGCGCCCGCGCTTGCGATGAGTTGACAGATGGTCGACAGAAAGATCTCTCTACGCGAGATACGCGGTTAATCTTGACAACAAAATCTGCATGAGGAGGGCGATGGATATCCTGCACGTCCCCAATGCCAACATCCCCTTAGTTGGCAAATATTGGCGGCCAATCATATAGGCGCAATCTTGAATATAAAGTGAGCCTCGGGGAGCTTTAAAAATGCTGTGAAATGAAATGGCTGCCCCGCAGGGAGGCTACAGCTGGATACTTGGACGATCATCACTGATTCAGCAAACTAAAAAAAAATGAAAAAAATAAATAAATGAGAAAAAACACCAAGTATATCAATTAAAGCATATGATGAATGCTATGGCACAATAGGTATTCCAAATTGATAGTCTTACGCTTGCTTATGATCGGCAGGATGATATTACAGTAAGAAACCTTGAATTTCTGAGTGAACCGTAAACCTGAATCGTAGGCGAACTAAGCGAAGAGGTTGTAGCAATTCATACAGAGCAGCAGCATCGAGGATGATATTTCGAAGGCTGCAGAACGTTGTTCATGAATGTTTTGACAAGATGTCCGGCGATTATCTCTAGACTGGGATTTGACCTCGCCAATTTGACCTCATTATGGGCCTCTTATCAACTCAACCTTGCGGTAGATGCCTTTATTTGCTCTCATCACAATGAAAGAGCGTATTGTACATATATAAACAAGTAGAAAATAAATTAAAATCACACGCTTCCATAGGTACTGTGGTCGAGCCTTGCGAGGCAATACGAACATGGCTGCTCCCATCTGTAGAGTCTTACGTAAGGTAAGGACCTAGGCACATGTACCCGAGTACTTGGTAATTGAAGCAACAAATGATGCAATCCCTCCCGTCGCGCCTGCCATCGCATTGCATCGCATCGCATCGCATCTGCTCAAAGTAGCTCGCCATACTTCCCAGCTGCTATGGGTACCTCTGTAGAAGCTCTCACCTACTAGTAGTTTTTCCTATGAGCATCACGAGATCCGTGACTTTTATCGGGGTTATCCTCTCTTTCTCATCCTCCACAACCTCAAACAGACGGTAGAGTCTCTCTCTCTCCTCTCTCCAACTTCCCATCCCGAAGAAACAAAGTCCCGAATCTTGATACCGAGAATCCACCGCGCGCGCAGCTCAAACTCTCGCCTCCTCTCTCCGTCTCCCTCGGAATCGCCAAAGCTCACCTCCTCTCGGGCCGATCCGGACGGAGCTGAGCTGCGACGTGGCTTGCGGCTGTTTACTTTCAGAGTCTTTCTTCGTCCAAAGTCTTTGTGACACCGTTACCGGGCCCTCAATAGTACAATGGTCGCATTCTTGCCCTTCATCTCCGCCGTCTTCGGCTGGATCTACACCTTGGCCTGGAGTCTCTCCTTCTATCCCCAGCCGCTGCTCAACTGGCAGCGCCGGTCGACGTCTGGCACCACGGCCGACTTCCCTACCATTAACGTGATCGGTATGTCCGTCCTATGCTCCTCTGGACCCCCGATGCCTGGCTGTCTCAGACTCCATGCCTTTTCATGTTTCGCATCAGTTCCTGTAAGAATGGTGCTTCTCTCTTGCACCTCGCTCACGCTTTGCCTGTCCCGCTAGGTTTCGCCGCGTACTTCGTTTCCAACGTCGCCTTCTACTACTCCCCCGTCGTGCGCAGCCAATATGCCGCCCGCAACAACGGCTTGACTCCGACCGTCGCCTTCAACGACATCGTCTTTGCGGTGCACGCCCTTGTCCTCAGCCTCATCACCGCCTCGCAGTATGTCCTCCGCCCGCTCTGGGGTTTCGACTCTAGCTCTGGCGCTCGCCCTAGCCGCTTTATCACTGGCATCATCGCCGGCTCCGCGCTGGGCGTCTTGATCACTTGCTTCATTGTCTGGGCGAGTCCATCTGGGAATCCCGCGACCGACTGGTGCGAGCTGGACATTGTATACGCTGTTGGCTACGTCAAGCTCTTGGTGACGCTGGTCAAATATTCGCCCCAGATCCTCGCCAACTACCGTAACAAGAGCACGCGCGGCTGGAGCATCTGGCAAATCATCCTCGACGTGGTTGGAGGCATTCTGAGCTTGGCGCAGCTCGGTATCGACAGCTACCTCCAACACGACTGGAGCGGCGTCACAGGCAACCCCGTAAAGCTTATGCTCGGCAACTGCAGCTTGGTGTTTGACTCCATTTTCATGTTCCAGCACTATGTGATTTACCGTGGCAAGGCTACCCCGGACGAGGAGCAGAGGCTTCTTCCGGAAGAGGACAGGAGACATCGCGATTAGATTAGACTTTAGATCGCTCTGATTGCCAGCTAGACTTTGCTATGATTTGCACAAGCCACCCATCCTTAACTAGAACTCTCATTCAGCTACATGCTGGGCCGAGTAAGTAGGCTACAACAACCTTGCAATACCAGAGAGGAAGAAATGAAAACATGTCTATAGAAACATACGGAGCTGGGTATCCGTTCTATCATCAACGCTATTCTATATTACAAAGTTGATAACTTTTCCCCCGTCCACCGGGATCGTCCTCCTGGCTGACCGCACGTTATACCCGCCTTCACCAAATCGGCTTTTCCCGTCCTCGGTTTCGAGGATCGCATCCACTATCCAGTCTCGTAGAGCGTCGCCTCTCAAGTCGCTCGGAGGGCGCGGGATGGTCACCGTACCGCGAAGCTTGCCGTTGACCTGCACGGCGCAGTTGATGAATTCCGCCTTGAGCATCGACAGACTGCCATCTGGTACGGGGAAGCTGGCGGACTCGAATATGGAGCCCTTGGACGGGTGTAGGAGACTCCAGCACTCTTCTGCAAAGGCGGGTGTGATGGGCGCCATGAGGCGGATGATGGTGTCTACCGTCTGTCGTCGGATGCCTTCATCTGCTGTCTTGTATTGAACCAACTCGTTGGTGAGAGTCATCAGATCTGACACGACCACGTTGAGCGGGTATATCTTTTCGTAGCTCCGCGTAATGGATTCAATCTTCTTTTGCGTCTCGCGCCAAAGAGCCGTCTCGGAATCACGTTTCAATACTTCCTCCTTCTCTGCGGCACTCAGCTTATTCGACTCCCTCGCGCTCAGAGGGGGCCGCGCAACAAAATACTCTTTTGCGGGTAGCGATTCTTCAGGCGCCTTCGCCAGCGCCACTACCTGATCGTGGAGCTTCTGCAGCCAGCGCGTGACGCCGGAAATCTTGGACTCATCCCAGTTAAGGACATCTGCGACCGGCGCTTGGAAGAGCAAGTGAGCTCGGGTAGGGTCGACGCCGTACTTGGATGTAAACTCGGTGGGGTCTACTCCATTGTATTTCGACTTGGACATCTTCTCGAAAGCTAGTGTTGCGAGTTCACCCGTTGCTACGACCCGAGGCGCCAAAGGGTCTGACAGATCGACCTCGTCTGGCTTGAGGAATTTACCGTTATTAGGGTCGATGTAAGTTTTGCCGTGTACCATGCCTTGGGTGATGAGGCGCTTAAACGGTTCGGCGGACAGCGCTTCCGACTCGGAGAGCTGAGGTAGAAGCGAGGTAGTGGCTAGGAATTTGTAAATGAATCGGGCATATAAGAGATGAAGAATGGCGTGTTCAACGCCTCCAATGTAAATATCCACGGGCAGCGATTTGGCAGCTTCGGGAGAGAAGAGCTGATTTGGGTTGTGAGGGTCGGCAAAACGAGCGTAGTACCAGCTTGAGTCGACAAATGTATCCATAGTATCAGTGTCTCTCCGGGCTGGGCCCTTGCATTTGGGACATTCAGTCTTGACAAAGTCGGGAGCCGACTCCAGCGGATTGCCTGCCTTACCCTGTGCCCAATGATTATCCACCTCGGGTAGCAGAACGGGGAGCTGCTCGTCTGGCACAGGCACAGAGCCGCAGGAATCGCAGTGAACAATGGGTATGGGAGCACCCCAGTACCGCTGGCGGCTGATGAGCCAGTCTCTCAATCGCCATTTCGTGGTAGGTGTGGCAAGACCAGCTGCTTCGAGCATACGAATCATCATCTCGCCTGCTTCTTTGGAATGTTTGCCCTTGAAGGCTCCGCTGTGCTCTGTCATATAGCCATGGTGGACGAATGGCTCTGGCTCATTGTCGAATGTCGTTGTTGACTCGTCCTCAGACGCGGCCAGCACAATTCGCACGGGCTGCTCGACGTTGTGCTTTCTCCAGAAGGCATGGTCCCGCGTATCATGGCCAGGAACCCCCATAACAGCCCCTTCACCGTAGTCGCCCAGTACATATGAAGCTACATAGATGGGCAATGATTCTTTGGTAGCTTCGGGGGTATCGTCATGGTAGGCCAGCGGATTGACGCCGCGGATGTGTGGTAGCAGGTAGCCAACTTTGGAGTCTGGAGGCAGGCCGGGAAGAGTGTCGAGAAACGCTTGCAGCTCCGGATCTTTCTTTGCCAGTTGAGCCACCACAGGGTGACTGGAAGCGAGTGCAATATACTGAACTCCGAACAAGGTATCCGGCCGAGTGGTAAAGACTTCGATGGCGGCGCCAATATCATGCCCAATGGCCATGATGGGAAACTTGACCATGGCACCGGTAGACTTTCCTAGCCAATTTTTCTGCTGAGAAATTACATGCTCAGGCCAAGCACCGTCCTTGGCCAAGCTATCGAGGTCCTTGAGGAGGTCTTCGCTATACTCGGATATGCGAAAGAACCATTGCTTCAGCTTCTTCTTTTCAACCTTGGCGCCGGATCTCCACGAACAGCCATTCGCATCAACCTGCTCATTGGCCAATACTGTCTTGTCTATCGGATCATAATTGACTTCGGCTTCGGCTTGATATGCCAGGCCAGCCTCGTGGAGCATCAAAAAGAGCTTTTGCGTATGTTTATAGAATTCAGGGTCGCACGTGGCCAATTCCTGTAAAATCAGCTCAGTCAGACTCTAGCTGCATCATCTTTGTAAGTGCAACGGGAACGTGAAGCATCTTCTCACTCGTGACCAATCCCAGCTCCCATTCATTACATCCAGCTGACTCTTCATTTTGGCAATGTTGGTCTTGGTCCAACTTCCAGGTGGAACGCCCCTCTCAAGGGCGGCATTCTCTGCGGGCAAACCAAAGGCATCCCAGCCCATTGGCAGCATAACCTTGTCGCCCTTGAGGGTGTGATATCGAGCCACTACATCGGCAATGGTGTAGACGCGAAGATGGCCAAGGTGGAGGGTACCGCTTGGGTACGGGAACATGGGCAAGATGTAGCTGTGCTTCTGGCTATCCGGCGCCCGATGCTCGCCAATCGCAGGCTTCTGGTCCCAGACTTGACGCCATTTCTTGTCCAGAGCAACAAGGTCCACTGCATATCCTCTCCGAGTCAGGTATCGCGGGTCGTGTCGTGCGAGGGCAAATGTTGGATTTATCGCCCCATTGGCACCGGCTGCTATATATCGACGGCAAACTGCCGAGCCGGCCCTTGTGAGGCCCATGCGGCTTCCATGAAGCATATGCATTATCGTATTTTCATATTGCGGCACAAACCTCCCGCAACATTTGCTTATAATGGGAGTAGAGGCAATGTGCGGAAGTAGAGGAGGATGTTGCAATAGGACGGAGCGATGGTTCGATGTTGATATTCAAGTCGCCGCACTTTTTTTTCCACCCACGGCTGCTATCGGAGCTCCCTACAGCGCCCATGCAGAGCTGGCAGGGCCTCTGGCAACCTCTAGTGGGGTCTCGCGACCTGTGAAAAGGCCCCATGCGGCACTGTATCGCCTGCTGCGTCATAGCGCTCGGCAGAACGATAGCGATAGCGCAACTCTGGATCAAGCGACAACGGACGCAACCCCGCCAAATCGATTCTCCATGTACAGCTGCCCCGCCACCATGCGCCAGCGGCATCGCAAAAGTTTCTGATCGTGTCTTGCCCAGAGACTTCCAACCACCTTATCGCTGAGTCAATTGACTCGTCGCTTTGGGCTTCAAGCATTGGTTTTGGATCGCTTTTCAGGATACGCTGATTAATTTGGTTGTCATTTCCAATTGATTTTATTCCTGTCATCTCACAGCTCCTTTCGAAAACCGGCTATTACCTACGACGCTGGAACAAAAGAGGCAAACCCGCATCTATCCGTGCCATCGAGCGTACCGTCTAGCGAAGGGGTCACGCGCCGACCCAATTCGACAGCCAATCAGCCAATTTTTGATTGCTCGAGCTTGAATCCTTACTGCTCTACATCGAAATCAAGAAACGCCCTCTCAAGAGCATAATCTTGCTTGCATAACGATCTGTCGAAACAATGATGGACAAAATCACTGACAAAATCGCGGCGCTGCCGGCCGATGGAGAGTACTTCTCTCTGGAGTTCTTCCCTCCCAAGACACAGATGGGCTTCTCCAACTTGCGCGTTCGTCTTCAGCGAATGGAGCGCGCCCTGCGACCGCTCTTCGTCAACGTCACCTGGGGAGCTGGTGGCTCAACAGCCCAGAAATCAATCGAGCTTGCCGAGCTATGCCAGCGAGAGCTTGGCCTCACCACTTGCCTTCATCTCACATGCACAAACATGAGCCAGGCAATGGTTGATCAGGCACTGGAAGATGCGAGAGCGCTGGGCATTCGCAACATCTTGGCTCTGAGAGGAGATCCGCCCCGCGCCGAGTACCGAGACGCCGACGAACCGACCGGCTCTGAGGAGTTTACATGGGCAATTGACCTTGTCAAATACATCCGCAAGAAATACGGCAGCTATTTTTGCATTGGTGTTGCTGCGTATCCAGAGGGTCATGGCGATGGAAGCCACCCCGAAGGACAGAGCTTTGAGCACGATCTCCCGTATCTTGTCGACAAGGTCCAGGCCGGAGCGGACTTTATCATGACGCAGCTCTTCTTCGACATCAAGGCCTATGAGAAGTTTGAGACCACCCTGAGAGACCACCCTAGCGGCGCCTTCAAGACGATACCCATCTTGCCTGGCTTGATGCCAATTCAAAGCTATGCAATGATCAAGCGAACGGCCAAGCTGAGCCATGCCGAGATGCCGGAAGAAATCATGGCCCGGCTGAACGCTGTAAAGGGAGACGACGAGAAGGTCAAGATGGTCGGCGTTGATATTCTCAGCGAACTGATAGAGCAGATCAGAGAAATCAAGAGCAGGACTCCCGGCCCCAGAGGCTTTCACTTCTACACTCTCAACCTCGAGAAATCAATCTCTTTTATTCTGGAGAGGACGAAACTGATCCCCGACGTCCCAGACGACGAAGAAGCTGTCGTGGATGAGCCTGTGCCGGCGGCAGTCACAGGTCAGCGATCCATCCCAAGAATCAGCGTCAATGGAAACGTTCCACCTCGCCAGAGCCGCAGCCACTCCCGCACAGCCAGGAGACAATCTTCTGTTGGTTCCGACCCATTCAACCGAGTCATTGTCGGAAGAGCCGCCGCGCACCCCGAGTGGGAAGCGACCAGCACAGAGGCCGGCTTGCCGGCCGAAAGCCTCAACACGCGTGCCAACACGCTGGCCATCTCCGAGGGTGAAGGAGCTCTTGGCCGTGAAGCGACGTGGGATGATTTCCCCAACGGCAGATTTGGCGATGCCCGTTCACCTGCCTACGGTGAGATTGACGGATATGGCGTCAGCATTCACATGTCTGTCACACAGGCCGTCTCTCTCTGGGGTCACCCAAAGACGTCCAGCGACATTAATGACATCTTTGTGCGACACATCCGAGGAGAAATTTCTGCCATTCCATGGAGCGAGGAAGACCTCCTCCCTGAATCCAACATCATCAAGTCTAGCCTTGAGGCGATGAACAAAAAGGGCTGGTGGACTGTTGCCTCCCAACCCGCGGTAAATGGCCTGCCGTCAAACCATGCCACATTCGGATGGGGACCAGCTTCTGGCTTCGTCTTCCAGAAATCATTCGTAGAGTTCTTCATCCCATCAGCAGACTGGAAGATCCTCTACGACAAACTCACCTCTGAGGAACACGAGGAACTGGTCTGCTTCTACGCCAGCAACGCCAACGGCGACTTTGTCTCATCAGACTCAACCGGCGGCACGGGTCGTGTCACCGTCAACGCAAGCACAAACGCCGTGACATGGGGCGTCTTCCCCGGCAAGGAGATTGTCACGCCAACCATCATCGAAGAGGTCAGCTTCCGCGCCTGGAGCGAGGAGGCATTCGACATCTGGGCCGAGTGGGCAAAGGTCTACGGCCGAGGCTCGGACAGCGAGAAGCTGTTGAACGAAATCGGCCAGGATCGCTGGCTGGTGAACATTATCCACCACGATTACGTAGATACCGAAGCTTTGTGGAGGCTCTTGACGAACTGAGAATGCCAGTCGTCGTAGGGCCGGGAGTGAGTAATGGATATAGGAGGCCGATGGTGCGAAAAGAAGAGTACAAAATACTGCGATAACGCATCACCATTTATTAGAATCCAAGATTGTAGAGAGAAAGTATCTAAGAAAGATATAGTCAACTTGTTTTTCGACGAAACGCGAAACGGAGGGTTCACAGTCTTTTTTTTTTTTTTTTTTCATGCCGCAGACTCAACTCTGGCAACAGAACAAACATGTACTATTACAATATTTCAAGACACAATCCAGAGTTACTACAAAAGCGAAATCGCTCCGTCATTCTTGGAACTTTTGTTGTTTCAACAAATTTTGTACAGAACATCACATAATATCAAGGTTCAAAAGCACAAATTCATTTTTAACTGTACCAACACTACTAGCCTTAGTTACCGCGCGCATAAAGATCAAATCCCTATAAATAAAATTCCTTGCCTTGACGTTTCCCGTGTTGTCCATCCCTTGCGATGCCCGTAGTGCGTTGTAAATAGCTAAAGAGCACCGTATTGTTAAGAGGAAAAAAAGAAAAATAAAATAAAAGAAGAAAAAACATCCTGTTCCAGATCACTGCCGCCGTTCTCCCTTCATTGACTTTTGCCTTTCAGATGAGAAGTGAGATGAAGGACATGAAAAAAGAATCATGAAGAAAAGCAAATTTGCTGAAAAATAGAATCGATGTGCCACCCAAACGGAAGAAAAAAATAGAAGAGGGGGCAAATAAGAAGATACAAAGCAATAAGATCGAAGAAAAGAACAGAAAAAGAAAATGGCGGGATCCCTGGAGAGAAAGAAACATCTTTTCTCCCCCCGGCGCCATACACATGCGCGACTAGAGTCGCATATATTTTCCTCAATATACCATCCTATTCGATGCTAAATAGCCAACCATCCGTGCGAGGGAATTTGAAAGGGAAGTATAAAGAGAGAAATAAAAAGAGAAATGTGAGAAATCAACACCACTCTCCTCATAATCGAATGATGGGGTAGGAAAGGAGAGAGAATCCCCCTTTAGATCTCGCCGTAGTTCTGTTGAGAGTAATAGGAACCTCCATAGCCTTGGGAGCCCCCATAGCCTGAACCTGGCGCGTCTCCCAAAGCTGGTCCGGGGTCAAGACCAATGGCCTCTCTAGTGTAGGCGGGCTGGCTGATGGTAGTAATGGGTCCAGCGGTATATGAAGAGAATGCATGGGTCATTGGAGCCTCAGCTTCGGGCTGGGAGTCGCTCGCGTCAAGCTGCGTTGCGGCTTCAGCGATAGTAACGTTGGCCAAGGCGGCAGCTCTGCGAGATGGAGTCCCGTTCCTCTGGCCCGGGAAGGCTCCAGTCTTCTTGGGCTTCTTGGTAGGCGTCATGTCATGTCCGCTCCAGTCCTCAATCTCATCATCTTCTTCATCGGATGAAGATCGTTTGATGATATCGAGCACGTCCATCTTGCGGGCTCGCTTGCGACCCGTGCCAGTGCCGGTACGGCTTCCCATGCTGCGGGCAGGAGTTGGTTTAGATGGAGTAGAAGCGACGCTGGGGCCGCCTGAGCCCAAGTTGAGGCAGTTGGCGACATCGCCTCCCTCACCCTCGACCTTGCGGAGGTGATCGGCGTCCTTCTTGATGCCCCGAAACTGAAACTGAATGCCGTCTGCGGTGGACTGGCCAAAGTACTTGGCAATATCTATAGAGACAAGGCGTTAGCTCTTTGCTAGGAAAGCAATAATAGAAAGAAATGAGACAATATCGTGACTAGAGAAAGCAAGAGTGGTGTGCGTTGAAGCAAGATGCATAGCCAGACAGAAATGCTTTGGATGAGAGAAGCATTTCTGCGAGATCAAGAGCTGGGAATCAAGAACTAGGCATACTCTTCGTGTCCACGGCGTCAATAGTGCCCGGGAGATCACCGTCTGCACAAATATTCTTTGGATCCAGTCCCTTGCCGCGGCCTTCGCGGACGATAACCACCTGCGCTCTGAGACGGCGGAATCGATGGTTCAGAGCGTGTTCAGTCATGTCGGATCCATAGCAAGCGACGATTTCTGGGACGAAGAGTCAACCTTCGCCCCAAATAAAACACAGCGATAGCAAGAACAACGAAGAGCAGATGAATGAGAAACGACGGGGTCCAAGTCTGCAAAAGGCGCAGAGCAAGGGAATAGAGATGATGGTGAAAGATGTACAGCAATAGATGATAACAAACACGGCTTACCTTTGTAGTTCCACTTGACATCTGGATGAGCAGCAACAATGGCTCGCACCATACGGGCTTGGGCCTCGTAGGTTTTGTAATTGGCTTTGCTTGCAGGAGCCATCTTTGTTTTGAGTCTTCGATGAGAACCGGATATTAGCGATGAGAGAGAAAGCGATGGCGCAGTGGAACCAGCACACGGTTCAGCAGTTGATTAATGCAGTGAAAGAATGTGGATTTTGTTGGACGATTCCGATGATCAAGTGAATGTTTGATCGAAAAGAAGAGAGTGTAGTGGGCGGAGGTGTGAAGGCGAAGAAGAGCTGGGAAGCGGCAGAAAGGAAGAGATGGTTGTTATGCAGATGGAACGAGAGGCAGCAGGATCACCTGACTTGAGCCAAAACTTGAAAAAGCCGGTGAAGAGAAAAAAAAGGCCAAAGTGACTGGCAGGTGAATGTGGCCTGGGCAAAGAAGGGCTGCCAGCCGGCAACGGGGCAGCCAATCAAGTTGAGCAGGTTAGGGGATGGTGTTGTGATGAAACTGAGTGAATATAACGATTGCAAGGCACCAAGATGATAGAAGTTTGGACTTGGCATATGATGACAGGTGAATGAGACGAGAGAAGGACGGATGCAGTGACTGAGATGTACAGCTTTGAAGGTTGTGGTGGGTGAGAAGAAGATGTCCAGGGACTTGGGGCGTGGTAGAAGCAAGGTTTCGTTGGCCTACCTATTTGGACGGGTGTATCGAGCTGTAAAAAATGCCAAAGCCTCGTAAAAGAAACTCTCTAGTAATTGAGTGAAAGTAAATTAAAAGGTTGATACGAAGGCTGCATGCCATGTTAGTGGTAAATAGAGTAAAACGGGAGCAGGACATACCTCTATCGCTGGCCGGCTATCAAAAGATGATAGCTTATGACTCGAATAGGTAATACACTAATGCTCCATTGAATAATCTCGGTAGCAAGAAGAAACCAACTATCCGTGGAATTGCCTGTTTAGGTGATGGCAGCCTCGATAAATGGAAGCAAGATCGTAGCACCTATTACTAGCTTGTCAGATATTTGTTTACATTCAACTCCTCTTGACAACAACCTACAAACAATATGATCCGAGATGACCAAAAGAAAAATTAATAAAGGGCGGATGAGAGGAGGGTTCAATAGATATGACCACCTCGTTTCTTCTTTACAATAACCTTGCGAAATATTACGCGATAGGTAGTTGGTTTCAATAGTGCCCAATTTGACAAGAAAAAAGGCCAATGGTACTTGTCAGAAAACCCGACAATCGGGCTTCTTGTAGTGTCAAATGTATAAAATCAAAAGCTGGACTTGAAAGATCCAGCCCGTTCAGGCACTCCTAGTAGATGTACTTCGTACAGGCAATCTCGTATAATCGTGTATGCGGCAGGTTTTCCCTTGCCAGCAGCGATGAGAAAGTCGGGTGGCTGGGGTCTGTCCCCGAAAAGGTACTTTGGTGCAGAGCGCATAAGGGGTGACTTTGGAAGTAGCATCGCATAGTCGAGAACAAGACAGAGAAGAGCAATTGAATGAGAATCGAGAATCTGAACAAAACTCTTTATTAACTATTTGTCAAATATCTTGGAATTGTTTTACCTGTAGCCATCGCCTTGTCGCGATACTGGATCTACTTTCTACAAGGTGGTCTCGCACTACCATAGCTTAACGCCTGGCACTTACGATTCAACCGCGGTGACTTTGCATACCCAGAGCAGCAAGCAGATAGAAAATGAAAAAGAGTTTGAAAAGATGAGTATGTAGAAGCTTTCAAGTTGACATATATGTACGTATGCGCGTATAAACACAGATGTCTATACATTTCGCATAAAGAAGTATGACAGGTAGGCCTACTATTAGTTAGGTATTATACCAAATCTATCACTAATAACCACGAGGTTCATCAACGTTAGTCTAAAAATATACGCGTATCCAAAAATCTCAAATGCGCCCGCATCGTCTCCCGTGCCAATAGACGCCTGCCCCTGTCTAATTCCTCTCGTAGTCGCTGAATGGCGCCGACCGCCGCGTGGGCGTCGTCCTACCCTGCTGCTGCGCTCCAACATCCTGAGCCGAGAAATCCTGCAGAGGGTGACCCTTGACGGTACTCTCGCCCTCTCCGTATATCAAGTACTGGACGCCGAGGAAGCAGTCGCAGCAAGCCTGGAAGATGCCGCAGATCTTAAAGGCCAGAGGGATCTCGGACGTGGCGGTGAAAAACCAAAAGATCTTCATGGCGTCGCCTCCGATCCAGCTAGCGAGCACGGACAGACGGAAGCCTTTGCAAGACTTGGACTGCGCATTGGCGAGGATCTGCGGGATTGGGAGCGTGGCTTCGACGGAGAGACCAATGTAGCCGACGAGGACCGAGTACGTGGCATAGACGGGAGGAATGCTCGACATGACAACTTCGCAAACCAACAGGCCCGCGAAGAGGTAGACAATGAATTGCCAGTATCTGTAATCATACGGTTAGCCTCCTCCTCCTTGCTCATTATTCGACCAACTTCAATGCCCTTCAACTGGTGAGACTCAACGGCTTCGGCGATCTCCATTGCCAGAAATTATACGGCCTCTGCGAAAAGAGCCCCTCGGCAGCAGCGAATGGTAGCCCGGACTCTCCGCCCTTGTTCGAAGGGGCCGGTCGGTGATCGAGCGCAATCTTGAGAAGCGCCACCTGCACGCCCACCATGATCAGGGACTGTATCAGCAGGCTCTCGTCGAATCTTGCGCCGGGCCAGTAGAAGATCCTATTGCCCAACACGTGCATGTTAGCAGAATGCGCCGGATCCGCCGGACGGCCAAGGGGGGCCCAGCCGGCACTGCGACAGAGCGCGAAGTAGAGAAAGAAGCGCACCTGAACAGAGATGCGACCAGCATGATCAGGGGGATGTCGAGAGAGAAGCCCGCGCTGGTCTTGTTGCGGTGCATCGAGACGGCCTGGTCGCCGTAGGAGAGGATGGGCGAGAGGATGATGAACATTGGCGCCATGTAGCCCGTGAGTGTCGCAAGCCAGCCCATTGTTGCGGATGTTGGGATTTCGAAGCGAGCAAATCTCAGGGAAGTCGGAGGTATAATATATGATAATGCTGTATGTATTCGGAACCGCTGGATATCCAAGAAATAAGAAGCAAGAACCAGTCTTTAGCCTCAGTACAGGGGACGAGCCGCCGTGCCTCCGGGGTTGTTAGATAAGGACAGGTTAAGCAATTGAAATGGTAATTAAAGATGCAGCAGAAATCGCAGGCCAAGAGCAAAGAAAGATACACAGAGAGCCGCAGGACCGAGGAATGAATGCAGAAGCGGTAAAAAAAAAAGAAAAGGACGAAAGCGGGCTGACGATGTTTAAGATTGCTGGTAAGATGGATTCGGGGGAAGACCGCGGGCAGGGGATGACCCAGATAAGACCGGATCTGATCGGCGTTAGAGCGGTACCTGGGCGCTGCTGGGCGCTTAGCCGGTGCCAAGCTGGGCGACACTTGTACCGCCCTACCGGCACTCATTAGCGGCTGTGGTCCCTGATTCGCTAGCCTTGCGCCGCCCTACGCAGCCTTGCCCTTGGCAGGGCCCTCCCCACATCTTCAATCCACAGCTGGTGGGCTTCTGGCTGCTTGGAGAATGGATTCGAATAGCATCAGACGGACTTCTCCGGTCTTACAGCGCGGAGGGCTTGCATACCACATCCGCATGTGCCAATTGGTTGCGAGGCATTGTCTTGCGTCCATTACCGCTGTATACCGCATCTGCATTATGGATCTTTTCTAGCCTCTTTTTTTTCTTCTCCCTCCTTTTATCCTTTTCTTGTTTCTATCCCGCGTCCTAACATGTGACGGAGCTTTCGCAGCTAACCAGATGAGACCTCTGTAATGTCTGACTGATTCATTTGTCAAAACAGCTCCATCTATCGCGATTTTATAGGTGTAACACACTCCCAAATCCGAATTACCCCAAGATAAGAACAGAAGAACGAATAGCAAGGGTGTTATAACAATATGTGTTGTAACAATATGTGAAGCGTAGCTTCTAAACAGTACTGGCTCCAAAGCGCCGGATCATATCCAAGAAAATCAGGACCAGTATCAATTCATTTTCATCTTAGGCCGAATGAATTTTCGATTGACTAAACATAGCCGCGGGGCCACCCTGGGCAGCGCAGAGCATTCGAGCACATTGGCAACGATAGGGAAACATCCAAAGCCAACCCTAATCATGGAGCAGCTTTGAGTAAGTTTGATTGCTCATTGATTGATCAATTATAAATCAGATAGTAGATAAAGAGTAAACAGCTTATGCCTTGATGAACAACAAGGCCTGTGACCATGCCACCCAGGCCAGCGTTGGTGCTGGTAACATGAAGATATGTGCCCAAAATCAATGTCCAGCATCAGGGTTTGGCTTCCTTCAACAATCATCTTGACCTTCATTTCTTGCGCATCCCCATAACTCCAAAAAGGGTACAAGAGATAATCGGTGTTCCTCGGAAGGGTAAGCTCTTCCTCCACGACGCATTGCAAGCATTCGTTGCAGCGCTCCTCGTATTTCAGAATCCAATTGCCGCAGTTTGCGCTCAAACAGCTCTTCAACTATCCCAACAGGATAAGAACCGCTGCAAACAACTTTTTGACACAATTTATACCAACACTCCCCTTCGTAATACCTTCATAATACCGACAGCATTGACTGAGTTCTACTTTCCCTGAGATCATCGACCACTTCATGGAAGTTCAGATTGAGATACCGATCACCGGCAAAGATCCGCTGACGGGCGTTCTTAATGTTCTTGACCTCGATATCGGCGAGTTGCTTGCAATTGGGTACGACGAGGCCAGATGGAAGGAGTTGGTCTCAATGACTGATAGCAGTATACTGAATATTGTCATAAGCTACAGCACAACATTAGCATCAGTGCATGTAGGTAAAAAGAAAGCTATAAACTTCACATGTCAGCAAGCAAGTCTTCTCAGCAGATATTCCAAGCAAGATGCGGCCTTACTGTCCATACCCGAAATTACCTATCTTAGCTGCCTTTAATGAGTGGTTCGCATCCGGTCTTCACAGCATTTTTTACGTCCCCCCCGGCGGGCTACTGTGGCATCGGCATCAAATGCGGCTCTGCGACTTAAGATGTAGGTATTCCACTTTACAGCATTTTTAATGCCCTTTAATAGACAGTACTACGATTTTTTAAAATTCAAGGTTACTATGAAACCATATGCGATATCCTCGCCATACTCTTCAAGTCGGACATGGTGTAAACAATAAAGTGTGTAGAGTGTGTAGAGTGTGTTGTAGAAACGGCACCACCAAGTCCGACTCAGGATCTCGTATAGCTCTTTCAGTGTCTTGCTCTATTAGTGCCATGGTTGAGGGCGCCGCTCCAGACATTTTAGACTGAGAGCTGTTTGTGGGAGACTCCATTGGTCTTTTAGGAGTCAACTGCGTTGTAACAGTATGATATCATCAGTATACTCTCCATCAGAGGACGATCTATGAACAATCGACTTGAACCTTGCTCTGATTCAGATTCTTCAGTTGATCCAGAAGACCTGTCTGAGACCCTTCAAAGTCTCATCTCAGCTGCCATATGAGACACAATCGCGACAGTGAGAACACCAAAAATGCTTTTGCATATATTTCAGTTTAGACTGTGGGCTTCTCGTAGGCAGTTTACAGGTAAAGCAGTAAGCTGATGACCACTGCGCGGAAGAAATTGAGACCAAAGCACCACTATCACAAAGAAGATGTTGATAAACGTATCCATCAATGTGACCTTGCCCTGGGTTGGGTGTGGTATGCTCGTTTTCTCATGTTTAGCAAGATGCTAGACAATGTATGGATTTTCTACTCTTCTGGAAAGATAGGTATAAACTAAGACCTTGACCTGGTCAAGTATCGATCAAAGTGCGCTGAAAAGTGCGCAACGCGCATCATGAGTGTCTCACTCGAGATAATCCTCGGATATTGATCGATACTATAAATTCTTGTCAGAGCTGCAATGAGGGGTATATCGCCAAATATCAATCCATAGTCTGGCAGAATTACAACGAAAAGCATGCCAGTAACCTATCAACAGCATCCATCAAGCGGTGTATTTTGGCATGCTCGTTTGATCTTTCGAAGTAATCAAGCCTTCTGATGTCCTCGCATCTCATAGACCAAACTGATCTATTAGACCTCAATATAATGGACGTCCGCGTGAAAGCTCTCTTCAAGCTCCCGTCTTTGATCGGCGATCCAGGTGAAGCCCGGCACATGATTTGTCGATCCATCGTCGGCGAATCTCTTCACCTTGATAGCGGCGTACAAGCAAAAAAGGGCGGCTATCCAGACCCTCGGAGTACACATACAAAAGGCAAACAACTCGTCACCAGCGTCACAAGACACGTCCTTGGCCGGCTACCTATTGCGCAGATTTATGGCCTTTTATTTTTAGCCGCCCAGAGAATCCATCCACCATGTGAGCAGACGCCCCCCCAAAATAAAACCGACAGAGGGGATCCATCGAGATGCATAAGTAGCATCTTTATGCCGGCTGCTGGTCCATCCATCACGAGCCGGCACTCGCTCGATGCACGAAATCTCGCCATTTCGTCTACTATACTACACACTATTCTCGGGAGGCCCCCATCAGCTGCGCACTGGCACCGGCCTGGACATCTTCATTCAGCTGCTGCTTCTGTTTGCTGGGGAGACTAAGAGCACCGCAAAAAAGCTCCAAGAGTATATTTAGCGAAGCATCAGCATCACGCGACCCGTCCAAGCGGCGCATCAGCAACCAGACCCGGACCCGTTGTGATGTGTCAACGCCGCTGCTGCAGCCTAATCAAGAGGCTGAACGAAATACAAGAGCCAACAGAAAGGCATGGGATAAATCAGACAAAAAAATCCTTGGGTACCAAGAACAAAAAGAATTAGCGAGAGAGAGTGTGTGAAAAAAGAGCAAATCGCTCCGCCACCCACTTAGACGCCTGGACAAGGATGCGCTCGCTGGAATCGCCACGCTCTCTGCGGAATCTGGCCCCATCGCAAGATCATGAGGCGGGCTGGGACGTTCCGTGTCGTGTCTAATTTGGGGCCTGTCATTGTCACACACCCAACGCTGTTTTTTCCCCCGTCTAGCTTGTTGTTTGCACTATCTAAATAGCAGTAGGACTAAGCAGGGAAGAAGAAGAAAACGCACAAAACGTGCCACACCACACAGCCAATAAGAGCCTGAAGGATTGCGCCGACATGAAATTTTGGCATGCAACCAAGGCACAACCCAAGCCCCGACAAAAGATCCAGGCCTCTCTCGCTTTCACGTTCTCGGGAAGAGGAGGGGGCGTGTTTTTCGTGCAGCGTTTGTGTCTATACGGATACATCAAATATGGGTGGCTCACGATAATGGACAGGAGGAGCTGAAAAATAAAAGCTGCGTTAATGACGTTACATTGCGCGCGCGGCAAGCATTCCGCGCTTCTGTGGCTTTTTTTTCCTCTCTTTCTTTATTCTCTCGTTTGTTCGTATAGACGAGGCCTGGTTGTTTTATTTGATTGATTTCCAATTTTTTTTAATTTGTAGATTTTCATGTGGATGGCCACGCACCACATGCAAACTTTCCTGTTTTTGCGAGCCTCGTGGAAAATAAAAGCCCAATCACATCGCTCTCGGGCGAAGGGGAACAGCTCCAGCCTCCAGCGCTGCTACACCGAAGCGCATCCGTCGCATAAGCTGCATTCACTGCATTCGCTCGTATACGAAGCAACATGTAGACTGCAATTTTCCATGTACATGCATACATGTAGGTATGGAGTACCCGGAGCATGCGGTTCGACCACGCAGTTTGATCTCTCTAGATTCGACAGCGAGACCCAAATCATCATCTGTTTGCTTGGAACTCAGCATAATACACGCCACGTACGATAGCTCTTCATGTAGGTAGGTATAATGAGCTTCATCCAACAGCCGAGGCTGGTATCTCACCGAAGCTTTCAACAAGTGTTCTTCGCATGACAAATGCTCTGATGGAACGTTGCTGCAAA